CGAGCTGTTTATTCATTTTTCCACCCATGAACGAAAAACGAAAATTTAAGCTGAATTCTCGTTTTCCGTTTTTTGGAAAAAAACGAAAAAACGAAAAAGGAGCCTTTTCTCATTTTTCTACTTTCAATATTAAATCAAAAAACGAATGATCGAATGATACACGGATTTGGTGGCAATCCGTGCATCATTCGATCATTCTTTTTTTTTATTTAATATTGAAAGTAGAAAAATGAGAAAACGGCTCCTTTTTTATTTTTTTTCCAAAAAACGAGAATTCAGCTTAAATTTTTGTTTTTCGTTAATGGGTGGAAAAATGAATAAACAGCTTGAATAACTTACTGGGTGAGCAGGGTAGGCTATGACAGCTGTCATATCATACCCTGCCATGCCCAACTTATGCAAAGAATAGAATTTATATCTACACAGAAGAAAGCCCTGTCTAGACTCTGCCCAGGTATGAGTTGTGTCGACCTATTCATTAGCCTGTTTGTTTGATGAAAAAAGACTAAATGTAGTTGCAATAAATGCGTTAAGAATCCATACAACTGCAGCAGTGGAGGACTATTATTCTGCTGCGTGATACTGCAGAAGAACTGATGATGGCACGTTTGATCTTCGGGCTGACCAATCAGCAGAAAGGGGCGTTTAATTCCCGCCCACGTGTAGAAATCGATTATTCAAGCTGTTTACTCACTTTTCCACCCAAGAACGAAAAACGAAAATTTAAGCTGAATTCTCATTTTTCGTGTTTTGGAAAAAAGGAAAAGGAAAAAAGGAGCCGTTTTCTCATTTTTCTACTTTCAATATTAAATCAAAAAACGAATGATCGAATGATGCATGGATTGGTGGCAAAGCTAAATTTTCAGCACCCATTATTCCAGTCTTCAGTGTCACATGATCTTTCAGAAATAAATCTAATATGCTAATTTGGTGCTTAATTTTCTGCTTAATATATGTGTGGAATCAGTGACACTTTTTTCATGATTCTTTTGAATAGGAAGTTAATAAGAACAGCATTTATTTTAGATAGAAATGTTTGTAACAATGTAAAAGTTTTTACTGTAACTTTCAATTAATTTAATGCTAAAAAAAATAAATAAAAAATCTTACAGACCCAACCTGTAGGGTAGTTTGTGTAGTTTTTATGTGAGCTCTGTTATTCTCTTGTAGTTGATGCGATTTGTTTTTTTGTTTTTTTTACTTTATGATTTTAGTTATCATTATAGCTCTTTATTTGTTATGCATTAGCAATATTACCTCTGCATCATTAAAGTGGAATATTACGTTTTTCTTGTGGCTACCCACATTACCCACCAGGCCCAATATGGTCAGCCTTTGCATCTAAAGGCCCACACTTTATTTTGCCAAAACATTAATAACACAAGTAAGCAGTGAGACATCGCTTAAACATTGTAACCCATCAATTAGAGAAATCATCTTTTATAAAGACCTCCTAGCTCCCGATAAAAAAATTTAAGTGTAATTTATTTCATTGTTTTTATTTAATCAAATCCCTGTTGTGTTTCTCTCAGTAAAGAGGCTGAGCACAGAGGTTACGCAGCTTATTGTGGAGCGGTGCACTGCTGCAGTAGGAGAGCAGCCATGTGAACACACCACTACTATTCTACAGTAAGTTACCCAAATTGATCAGTGCTGCCTTAGAAACTATAGTCTCTCGTTCTGTTGTTACCTTTTTTTTTTCTTTCCCAGGGCCTTCGTGGAAGAGAATGAAGGTGTATACGACCAGCAAGTGTATAATGTTCTAGAAGTTGTCGCTGTCCTTCACCCCTTCACAGTGACAGCTCTTATTCCCTTTCTGTCACTGAACCTTAGAAAGACAGAATGCAAGAGAGGTCTGGGAAAAAATACCTCACTCAGGTACAGCAACAGTAACCTATATGTCAACAGAAACTTAAGCTAAAACCAGCACTATCCATTAGCATTCCCATTTGCTTTGTACTATGCTTCATTTTCTCCTTCTTAAAAATCTGTCTTATTGTTTTAGGAATGGCTATAGGAGGCTGCTGGCCCTGCTTGGAGACAGTGGACAGGCTGAGATGATTAGTTTAGAAGAAGACTGACTTGCATCAACTGCCTGCCTGCATCAACTCTCACTACTCTTATGTAAACAGTGTACATGGTGTAGACTTGATAGTGAATCCATGTGTGGATATTGTGAATAAACTTTGTTTGAATACCCTGTGTTCTGTGATTTGTTGCTGGCTTCTGGAATCAAGCTATGTTGGTAGTGTGTTAAGGGATACCCCATAAGGCCCCAATACTAAATACTAAAAATGTTGATAGTCATTAGTCCCAGTTTTATACGTAAACCCTCTTAAACCTTTAAAGTGCACCATATGTTTTCTGAAGGAATTTATAGAAAGCTAGCGAATGAGTGACACTGGCAGAGGGAATTATCCCAGCTGGCACTGACTGGACATCGATATAGTGTAAAGCTGACATTGGACCCGAAAGGCCATTGCACACTTGAGTCCAAAATTTTCACATGTTAAAAAATAAATACGAGCTCACGTTGTGTCAATCACATTTACACACTGCCTCCGAAATTTTCGTCTTGTCTTAAAAAAATTCGGATCAGGTTTGATTTTCTGCATTTTCGACATTGAATTTTGGTTACCCAATGTTGCAAACGAAATTTAACCAAAAATCAACGTCTTATGTCGTGTGCCTGCTGGGAAAGATGTGGGTGCTAAATAATGCCCTTGTATGCGTTTTTCTTTTAAAAAAATATAGTAAAGTTAAGCAAAATCAGGCGAACGAATGCTGTTTTCCCAAATTTCAACATTGGCAAACAGGGCCGTCCTTCGGCGGTGCAACTGGTGTGGTCGCTTTAAGGGGGCCCCACGGCGAACTACCTCGCACCAGGCCCCGCGTCAGCTAAGGACGGGCCTGGTGGCAAATATGATATTAATTGTATACAATAGTTAGGTAAACAAGTTAATATTAAGTGACTTATATTTTAAACACAGTAACTGTCCTATGTACTCAGCCATGTAGTGTATGAATTTTATAATGTTATTCTGTCATTAATAATCAGAGTCTGACAGCCCCTCCCCCTTCACGACATAAAGCTGCGACAGTTGAGTGCATGAAGTGTCCAATATTTCACACTTAGTTTTTTTGGTTAATGCATCATCCGGGTATTTAAAGTGCACTTTCTTTTTTAATTTTCAGTGTGAACACACTACTCGCACTATTTATACTACAAAACATCATAGAATAGTGCATAAGTACGTGATTTGGGATGCACCTATTGTCTGTTTTTGCTCCATTTCCCCTGCAAAAAAAAGCTCCAAACAAAAATAGCAGAACGCATCTTAGGCCAACTACAATTTAGTTCCTGAACAAATCCAATTTTGAACAGATTGGTTGAGCAAATGATTTAATCCATTTAGATCCAGTCAGTCACTTGGGCCCTGTCCCAAATCGCACCCTAAACCCTTGCGGTCTTCCTCTCGGTCCACACTTTTGTGACGTAATGTCGTTTTGACTGCCGGGTAGAAGTCTGCCGTGGAGCTCGCCTCAGTGCAGGCTGGGCAGAAATGCGCAACGTGGGCGTATAGCGACGGCAAAGGGGGCACTCGCAAGCACCCTTCTGAAAGCTCAAATGACACACCCTACAGTCTCGTGGACTTAACGGACAAGTGCACATGGCGGCCATTGTAAGTCCACAAGACCATAAGTGCACATGAAGTGTGCCATTTGGGACAGGGCCTTGGAGGTTCCTGAATGAATCGGTCCTTTTGAACTAATTAAATGATTCAATGACTTACATTAGTGACTGTTGCCACCTACTGGAGGTTTTAGTTTTATATTTAAAACATTTCATATTTTCAACCATTTTTATATCTATATTCAAAATAGCATATTTAAACCAATAATCTCATAATATTGTATATGCAATTATAATAGCAGTGTAAATGCATTCATGTCTCCTCAGCTGCATGTCAGTGTCAGCTGCAAGACGGGCAGCGCTGTACAAATAATACATTTTACACGAAGCTACTCAAACCACACCAAGAGAGCTAGAATAAAGATAGCGATTAATCGGAAATTCGATATTTTTACCCATCACATCTAGAAAGATGCTACATTAAGTTGTCATATGGTCTACTGCTATCAATCAGCACTTTTCTGGCAACTGCACAGACTAGTAATCAAAATCAGTCATGAAACCACAAATATGACACCTATGGCTCCCTCAATCACCTTCACCCCAAACCTTTCCTTTAACTATTCATACTGTTTGCAATCTCCATGCAATTCTGGGCACAAATTGCCTGGAGCCTCTCATCACTCTCTACCTCCTACCCTTCTTTTTTCCCCCTCTTCTCCATCCCAATCATTCCTTCCATTTCCATCTCAGCTCCCCGGTCCTCTCTTGCAACCGGCACGCTCGCACCTCGCCCCGCAGTGTGGCACAGGCATCACACTTCATTAGAGCAGAGCCATCAAATGAGCCGCACTGTCTCTCTCACCTCGGTCGCCGCGTAGCTCCGTCATGTCGATCTTTCATTCTCTTGAGCTAATCAGAGTAACTATTTTATACGGTTTAACAGTTATGAGGTACGTTACCACCCCTAATAGAATAATAAGTGTTACAGTAAATGGTGACATATTAGCTTAGTTCCAAAATTTAGTGAGCTGCCTTGCTATTGAACATATATATTGAACAAAATTACTAAGACCTACATTTTATCTCCCCTGCCATATTTTATTAAGTTTCTCACTGAGTCTGTGAGATTGCTTTACCTGCTTACTGCAAGGTTCCCACATCCATGGAAAAAATGAAAATACCCGGACCTGGAATGTCATGAAAAACGTTAGTCTATAAAATAGAAAAGCCATAATTTTGAATATTTGACAAAAAAGGGAAATACTTTAGATTATAATCTTACCTAGCAATCACAAATGACTGGACAACTTTCAGAAATTCAGCAGTAGAAACCCTAAAAAATAAAGCTTCTGGGAATAAAGCTATTGCTTGTCTCTTGTTTGTTTCCAGGGAATCAATGATTCAAGAACTAACTATTGTTAATCATTATTCCACAACTGCATAAATGTTGTATTTATTAGAGGCATTATGTAAAAAAAAAAGTGTGCCCTTACATGTTTTCTTATGGAATGGGTTTCTGGTGGTGGGATGGAGAACAGTCAAGATGCCACCATTGATGCAGATTGTGAAGATGCTGTGTGTGCATTTGTCGCCAGCTGTGGTCATACACATTCAGTAAACAATTGTATGGTCTTCATCCTGAGTTTTGATAAAAGTACAGTTTGTCACAGGCTGAGAAATGACATGTGGATAAAAGCAGCAGAACATTAAGGTCTGAATGGAGAGTGGATGGAGTCTAAGAATCTATGAAAACAGGTCCTTAACACTTCGGCCATGTCCCAAATGCCACTCTTGCGTATTTCTTTTGATTTAATTCTGCATGGATTGTTGAGTAAAGTTCACTGTGAGGTATGAACACCCTTTTTATGTTAAAATGATAAATGGGACAACCTGCAATCTTGTGTACTTGACGGACCACAGGTTCACATCAAGTGCACCATTTGGGACTGGGCCAAGAAGTGGCTCTTAATCATTCTGACAGATTTACACGCTGCTTGTTAAACTGTATTAGCATGGTGCAGCACCACAGCACATCCAGTTCAGAAATGCATGAATGTCAGTGAAGCTTGACAATAAAAAACTCTTTAAACTTCTTTTCGAAGGTTTCCACATCCATCAGAACACTGGCTCTACGAGATCAATATATGATCAACGACAGTTTCATCCACCAGTCACAATTTGTGGAAGTACAATAAGCTCTCACATGATTTCATTGGTTCATAGTGTGTTTGTGGGAATGTGCTTGAGTTATGAGCGGAGAGGTTAGAGAGCTCCTATCCTGTGATGTGGCACTTGTAGGGTCTGCAGGTTGGGGCAGGTGAAGTACGGTGCAGGCAAGAAACATGTCGCCACTCCATTCGAAGCAAATGGGAGCGTCGGCCCGTAAAAAACCTCCTCTTTCCCCTTGGTGCTCACATCTAGCACCTGCCAAACAGACAAATGATGGCATCTCAACACTAATTATCCAACATGTCATTCAAACATATGCACCATTCAAGCCAATTCACCTGAATGCAGGCAAGTGGTTCATTTGTCCAGATTGAATATCCACCAACCACATAGATTCTGTCATCATGGACAGACACTCCTGCCTCATTTTGGCCTATAAGGAGAATGTAAAGAATATTACTCAAATAAAAGCGAATGTTTTATGACCCCTTTAAGGCACTGTGGAGACACTTTTTCTTCCATTTTGAAAGTATGAATCTTTCTTTTTTAATCTTTTTTTTTTTGATTGGATGACTTTAATTTGTCTCCCAAGTCTGTGATTCTAAAAACTTCTTACCAGCTAAACTAGGTTCTTTTTTGCACATATTCCTATCAAAAGTTCATAGTTATTGAAGAATAAAAGTTTAATAGGTAACATGCTGCACAATGAGAATTTATAAATATAAATATACAATATGCTACCATTAAAGAAGTAGTTCACCCAAAAATTAGAATTTGTTGAAAATGTACTCACCCTCAGGACATCCGAGATGTAGATGGGTTTGTAGAGATTCTATCGGCTGATTTTAAGAAATTTTGCATTCTATCACTTGCTCACAGATGGATACTCTGCAGTGAATGGGTGCCATCGTAGCTAATAAAAACATCACAATAATCTAAAAGTAATTCACTCCAGTCCATCAATTAATGTCTTGTAAAATGAAAACTACATGTTCGTAAGAAACAAGTCCATCATTAAGGCATTTTAACTTTAAACAGTTGTTTCTGGCCAAAATTCATAATAACGCTTCCATTGACATATTTGCTTAGAACTGTTTTTTTAAATGGTTTAGCCCATTTTCACTTGTAAACGATGCTTGATGACTGGAGAAAGCAATATTATGGATAGAGGCACTCATATTTTAGCCATATTTGAAGCAACGGTTTGAAGTTAAAAACATCTTTCGCTTCACAAGACTATTATTGACGGACTTGAGTCGTGTGGACTACTTCCAGATTATTGTGATGATCAGCTGTTTTCAGTCTCATTCTCATGCCACCCATTCACCGCAGAGGATCCATTGGTGAACAAGTGATGTAATGATAAGTTTCTCAAATCTGTTCTAATGAAGCAGCAAACTCATCTACATCTTGGGTCACCTGAAGGTTAATTAAGGGATTGAGGGAGTTCATTTTCAGCAAATTTTCATTTTTGGGTGAAATGTTCCTTTAAAGCACCATGTAAATATCACAGTATATGAATCATTCAGTACCATATTAACTATCCTCAACCATCACTGTACTATGGTATCACCTTAGTACTTTTGAGAGGGGTACCAGTAGCACTAATACAATGTAGTGCTTCAAAACAAATACAGTATATATAGAAATGCTAACTTTTAAAGAAAGGAAAAGTGTTCTGCAAGAATAGTTGAATAAACATATCTATTACATGGAGTGTGTGTGTGTAGTGACCTGTGAGGAGACTGAATGTGCAGCGTGTCCACTGGTCCATGTCTATGTCGTAAGAGTCAATGTGTCTAACCAGGATGCGGTCATTGTTGTAGTCCAGATCGTTCCCCCCCAGCACATACAGCTGCCTTTTTACTGCCACCATCACATGGTACACCCTCCTCTGCAACATGGGACTGCGTGCTAACCACTGATTCTATGACAGAGAGGGAATTACAAAAGAAAGAGAAACACTTTCATTAGTAAATAATAATAATTCAATAATTTTAAGTTATAGAATTAATTGAAACATTTAACATATTCTAGTGCATGTGTGTGTGCATTTAATTGTGATAGGTGTGTGTATACGCAGAGATTGCACGAGCAGTTGTGAGTGAGAGTGTGAATATACACATGTGTTTGGCGACCATCTGTTGAGGGTAGTGTGGGTGGGGGGTTGCTGTTCCTGGCAGGTGAATGCAAAGCCACTTTGAATACCAATGAGCCTCTGCCTCCTGTTCTTTCCTCCCTTCTTCTTCTTTATATCTCTCTTTGAAAAATACACAGTTGCAGTGACCACAGAAGTTCTACAATACTTATTCTTATGTCTTTTTAAATGTAACATTAATAAATTACAGTGGTGTGTAGATGTGGGTTTGTTTTTTTTTTTTTTTTTTTTGAGCATTTGCCCAATGTGAATTAATATTTCATTTCCATTCAATGTTAAATGCAGTTTGTATGTTACAGGCGTATGTAACACCACTAACTTTAGATGCCATATTTCATTAAATAGATGCCATATTTCATTTTTCACAAATAGATGCACAGTCCTTTCAATAGGTTATAATGTTTTTACTTTGTTGTCAATCATTTAGCTGACATAGCACTAAAATATGTCTTATTAAAACAATCCTTGGTAATACAAAAATATAATGTATAATACATTGTAACTATAATATGGTAACTACATCAAGGTGTAGTAATTATTAATAATTTTTAACCAGCAATCATTACAGTGTTTTTTAAATATTTATATTAATGTATTAAAATAAGTTACATTATATTTTTAGTAACTAAAATAATGCAGTAACAAGCATATTGTCTGTATTTTGAAGAAAGAAGTCTCTTACGCTCACCAGTGCTATATTTATTTGACCAAAACTACAGTAAAAACTAAAATATTGTGCAATATTATTACAATTTAAATTAACTGCTTTCTATGTTAATATATTTTAAAATGTAGAATGTTTTAAAATATATTTGCCAGTGATGGCAAAGCTCAATTTTCATCAGTCATTCATCAGTCGTCAGTGTCACATGATCCTTCAGAAATCATTCTATTATGCTGATTCTAATATTCTGAGATATATATATATATATATATAATGTTTTTGGGGTTTTTTTATAGAGGAGGAAGATGCACTACCCAACTACATTAGACTCACATAAATACCAATATATTACCTGTCCTGGGTCATACACCATCAGTCGATTCTGGTACTGAGCTGTGTTAGTGACACCACCTGCAGCAGAAAGAGCCATCATTATATGTTAAACTGATTCTAGTAATGCTTTTATGTCTTGGGCCTAGAACCTCTGATATTGGGCTAAATGTGAAGTAATGTATTAGTACCTGAGACCCAGAGCAGCCCGTCCGCCACACAACCTGCATGACAGGACAGCGAGCGGTCAAACGGTTGCACATAGGTCCACTTGTTTCTCTTGGGACAGTAGCGCTCCACACTGGGCAGAACCTGCCTCAGTTCGTTCCTCCCCCCGACGGCGTAAAGATACTGTCCCAGAGCTCCCAGCACAAAGTGCTCCCTGCACGCCTTCATCGGTGCAATATCAGTCCAGCGGTTCACCCTCGGATCGTACCGGCACGCCGTCCTCACCGCACACGTCCGTTCGGTGGCGTGTTCCACCTCCCCGCCGGCCACGAACAGGAAGTTGCCCATAACAGCCACACAGTGGTGACTTCGTCCAGCAGGCATAGGTGCCAACTCACTCCAGTTCGAACCCCCGGCAACGCGTAAGTGCTCTTGCACGGAAGGGTTGAAGAACCGCAGTTCCCGTACGCGGCTGACCTCCCGTTTGCGCCCGCCGACGATATACAGGGTCAATGACTGAAAGCGGGGTGTGGTCCGTGCCGTCTGACATAAAGGCTGTGCAAATACGGACCGGTGGTAGTCCAACGCCTCCTCCACCAGGGCGGCGACGGTGCTGCTGGAGTTGAGGAAGGGGTGGCTGTTGGCCACACAGTGCAGGGCGGAGACCTCCATCAGGCCATAGCGCACGTGTTGCAGCAGTTCCTCCATGTACTGGTATCCGCAGTCGTGCTCCAGCCAACGCACCAGAAACTACAGCAGGGCAGAGTGGCTCATCAGTATTCAGCACTGATTCAGGATCAGGAGATCACACTGCTCATATTACAGGCTGCAGCTCACACCATCCACACAATACCGTCTGTAAACGCAGGGCCAACGCTTTGTATCATTGCATGCTAATGCTTAAGATATTGTGTCTCTAATTGAACTTGAGAGCAATCTAGACTGTTTAGCTGCAGAGGCATGCGAGTACGGCGGAGATGGCTGGAGAGAAGCGATGCCACTCTCGTGGAAACAAAGTGGCTTTTAACACAATCAGCCCTGAGACAGAGAACTTATTATAGAAGCCCAAGATCATGGGCCACCACCTCTAGACGTTCCGCAGCGGTCTTCTACACACAAATGGCAAATTGAAATGCTTGTAATATATTTTTCTTGGAGTATTTCATCATTTAAATTTTTTATTTTAATGGCACAACACAAATGGGTCGATTTCATTATGCTTACACAAAATGTTTTACAGTACATTCATTGCAGGAAGGTATTTTTAGGAAAAATCAAGGAGCTTAAGGTAGAGTGTGGTTTTTCTGCACCACTAGCAGCACCGATTTGCAGAGATAATGACTGCTACCAGAAAGGTTTCCCAAACACTCTCCCCTTCAGGAAATCCTGCCCCCAAACTGATTGAGATGATTTTGCTCTGTCAGATGCAACAAACAGAGCCACTTTTGAACTCATTAACCTACTTATGCATATTAGGCATTAAGAAATGTTAAGCCTATAATTATCTTCATGTTATGGCTGATAAGAGATAAATGGCCGGTATATAACATTTTATATAATACGGTCTACTTTTTTTGTTCTGAATAAAACTCATGCTCCAATTGAATTAAGTATAAAATTATTACATTTTTTACTCATTTTAAAATTATGTTCATTACCAATAAGCCTTTGATTACCTTTATGTTATGGCTGATAAGAAATAAATAGCCAATATATATAATATTTTATTATATATTTGTAACGAGTCATTCCACTGAAGGCGAGCGTAGTGAAGAACCCAAGTGCAGTTTATTTACAGTGATCCAAACATAATCCAAACAGACGAAGACTAGAGACACAGACTTGACGAGACATGAACAGACTTGACTTGACGAGGCATGAACAGACTAGACTCACCAACAGTGGGTTACAACATCAAATACACGACAAGGGCACAATGGGAACATGATGGCTAGTTATAGCAGAAAAGGAGGGTCACATGACATGAACAACCCAATGGGAAACAAGACACATTACTAAGACAACCAATCAGAACAGGCATGACGTGAGCAAGCTCTGGCTTGGCAGACGTGACGTGAAGAGGACTTGGCATAGCAGACATGACGGGAGCAGGCTCTGGTTTGGCAGACGTGATGTGTGCAGGTCCTGGGGTAGCAGGCGTGACGTTAGCAGGCTTTGGCTTGGCAGGCATGATGTGAACAGGCTTGACGTGAGCAGACTTTTGGGAAGTGTCATGTTCCTCCTCCATGACACCCACGGTGAATGGTGAATCAGCCAGCAACAAGGCAAAGTCAATATATTTCTCCAGTGACCAACAAATCTTTCCCCCAGGCAACTGAGAATGGGTTCATTTAAACCCACTCGAAAAATTTCCTTAAGGGCCACATCATTAAAAGCCACCAAATGGCACAGTCCACAAAAGTCCTCCACATAGTCCTCAATGGCCTGATCACCTTGACGAAGGCGAAGGAGACGAACAACTGCTGGGTTCATTATTAGGGTCGTGTATTCTGTAACAAATCATCCACTGAAGGTGAGCGTAGTGAAGAACCCAAGTGCAGTTTATTTACAGTGATCCAAACATCCAAACATAATCCAAACAGACGAAGACTAGAGACACAGACTTGACTTGACGAGGCATGAACAGACTTGACGAGGCATAACAGACTAGA